ATAAATATATAATAAAATCCTTTGTATATACCTGCATCGATATTGAAAATACTGGCGCTACAACTTTCAAGAACCTTGAGAAGCCAGCTTTGAACGGTCAGAAATAGATCCGAGATTATTCCGACCTACCACACCGAAGGTTTTCTTCGTGCATTTCTTTTTTCTTTTAATTTTTTTTACTAGTTCTACGCGTTGCATGCGGCAAAAGGAGTACTGGAACGCAAACAAAAGCACGAAGGAGACCAGAGTCAAGATCATGGGAGCACACGCGATCATTGGAACGTTGAACTAATATAAAAGCAAAGCAATATTATTCCAGAACCTTATAAATTTTTATTCTTCGATATTCATTGCGCGATTATTCGTTCCACGTAATTTATCAATTTTTATTTCTACTGATAATTGATACTAGATGAAAAGAATCTTTAAAGAATTTTATGTAGAATTGCATAGTTGCAGTTGACTATCTGTATGTGTACCTTTATAAAACTAAATAAAGCAAAAAGAATTAAAAATGCATATTATCAAAACGCTTTTGACATGCAATAAATCGATTTATATATTGTTATAACGATGTAAATGTGAATAGACAGCTCATTGCAAAATAAGAATATTTTTAGTCAATCATGAGTGGCAAAACGGAAGGTATTGCGTCTTCTTGAACCACTTTTGATTCAGTTTCCTCTATGATTTCAGTTTTTGATTCGATTTCTGTCCACGTAATTTATCAATTTTTATTTCTACTGATAATTGATACTAGATGAAAAGTTCTTTAAAGAATTTTATGTAGAATTGCATAGTTGCAATTGACTATCCGTACGTATCTTTACGCTAAATAAAGCAAAAAGAATTAAAAATGCATATTATCAAAACGCTTTTGACATGCAATAAATCGATTTATATATTGTTATAACGATGTAAATGTGAATAGACAGCTCATTGCAAAATAAGAATATTTTTAGTCAATCATGAGTGGCAAAACGGAAGGTATTGCGTCTTCTTGAACCACTTTTGATTCAGTTTCCTCTATGATTTCAGTTTTTGATTCGATTTCTGTTGAGTAAATTAATTCATTCAAATAGTACCTGTAATGAATAATTATTATTTCCATCATGGAGAAACTTTTACAATCTTCTATTGTTTTTTTCTAAATAGTATATATACCATTCATGAGCATGCTGGCAATCAATATTTTCTTCGTCCGTGCAAATCCGTTGTTTCTGATCAAACACTGTATTGTTAGCACAAATCACTGGAAATCCGCCGCCGGAATTTTCGCAAATGTGAAATATCTTACAGTTGTAATCCATATCCGCATAAAAACCAGTTGGCAAACCTTCGCAGGTAAAGTGAAAAGATAGATTTCCGAAAATATCAATATCGTTCTGTTCACTCGATATCTCCTCGTAGGTTTCCAGACGATTTCTGTCCTATATACAATACAATCCGTAATTTTAAATCACGAAACAGTAAAATTTGTTGCAAATATTTTCAGAGCAATATTTGAGAAATATAGATTCTTACAAAATGGCCCAAAGTGAATTGATTTGTCATTTTTGTACCTGTATAAAATGAAAAATATATAAAACAAAACTTCTCAAGTTTAAGCTAATATTATACAATTTTATACAATTAATTTTGACTTACTTAATAATAAGTTTAGTATAAATATAAAATAATTCATCGTGTATATTTTTAAAACTTGCGATTTTTTTTAAAACAGCACAAATTTTTTGCTTCTTGATGCTAAGATTATCGCTGAATGTTGACGAACACTATTACCAGATTACTCGATGGATAACGCAACCGAACATCGCGAGCTCTTTATTTGAAACTGCAGAACTCGAAGAGCTCAATGATCTTAATAACCGTGTAATTTCTGGAAAGACCTCTCATTCTTTCTCATTATCGTTTAAACGACGCTTAACTATCATATCCTGTTGTGTTGATGGATATTTTCAGAGACTGCAAAGGATATTCTTTTTAAGAAATATTTATATAATTTTAAGGAGAAATCAAAGACATTTTAACAAATCGGTAAAAAAGAAAAAAAATAGCGAATATGCATTTCTAACAAAAAAATGTATCGAAATTTTTTGACATAAAGAAAATAATTTTTATAACAAAATTTTGTTTAAACTTTTTAAATAAAAATATTTACTTAAATTTATCTGTGCACCAACAGATGTCAGCTTCATGCTATGAATCGCTTGATTCAGTTGGTCAGGCAACTATCCAAAGGTACTTTCACTAGCACAAACCAATCCCAAGCACATGCCGTTTGATATGAATATAACTTTCTTTTATATAAAGTTTTGCCAGGATCGTATCATATATAATATTGTATCGTATATAATATTATGTATATATATCAAAATTATGCAACAACTCTTTTATTTATCGAGTTTAATATCTATAATTTAAGGAAGCTAGAAAGGCGAAGGAGAAAAAAAAAAACAGTTTAAAAGCGCAAAAAATTCACAATTCCCAAAAAATTCACAATAATTTTTTATGTTCAATAATTTTTATCATTTTCTCTCTCTCTTTATTATAAAAGAAAGCCCAAATTATAAATAAGTTATAAATATTTTTTAAATTATTCATAAAGACGATAGAATTTTGTGTATTTTTCATAGTTATTATTTTAATAGGAAATTTACAAGACCGATTAAAATGTAGCTAATGAGCCTTTCGAGATGCGGTCATATTTTATCAAAATATGATCATGCTCGCGGCATGTCAGTAGCAAAAGGTAAGATGTCCACGAAAGGACAGCAGGTATCAACTGCCAATGAGAGAAGCCTTACTTCTCAGGCTGCCTTTCTCTTCGCCTCCAAGCCTCGGCTCAGTTTTCACGACAGCTTCACCCGGGAACCACATACAGAATGTCCTGAAGACACGCGGCCAAAACACTCGTGTGTATTCCTTTCTGCTCTTCTCTCTCTCTCATTCTTTCTGCTCCTGTATGGTGGAAGAAAAAGGACGAACCTCTTACCGGCGAACATGTAACCTTGAAGATATCAGCAGTGCATCTTTAAAAAAATCCAAGAGGATTTTCGCATTTTTGAGAATTTTCGGGGAAAGTGCAATAAGGTAACGTGACATATTTTTGTGACAGCTAATGAACTTCTTCTTGTAATATTAAAAATATTTGAAAAACGTTTGAGTAAAATGTCATTTCTTAAAAATCTCGCAATTTGTCATTGAAATAATCAAATATGCCGTTCACATCTTATTATTGATGGGAAATGGTCAATTAAAGCGGCTCATTAACTTCGCTATATTTTTAAATATAATGGTGTGCTAACTCCGTGACGTTTTCGGATGAGTGTCCACGTGTGTTTATAGGTGCGTCAGCTCTTCATTTCTCACCGGACGGTGACTTTAATGCGTGCGCAAAACGTTATGTTTCTGCACCTATTATTTGAAGTAGCTGTTACAATACTGCTGTTTAATGTCTAGCTAAATCATCAAATTCTGCACGGTTTTTTGTATTTTATTTTATTTATTTATGACAATTTTATTTTTTATAATTATTTTCTTCATTTTTTATGCAAATAAATAAAATTAGCTTCTTAGATATTTTATTTATTTCGTTTATTATTCAGTGTAACATATTTTAATTTTTAGACTAGAATTTTGTAATATTATTTGCATGTTTTACAAATAACATAATTTTGCGAATTACTTTATTTGTACATTTAAGATTTCTTTTTCGATTTATTTCCGTTATAGAAATGCCGTATTCTTTACTAGGAATGAATATCATGTTACAAAAGAAAAAGATATACAATACTACAGATATAAAATATTGCACGGTATCCGCAAGGACGACTGGTGAAACGAAAATAATCTCAGGTGCTACGTCAAAGAGATACACAAGAAAAATGCAGTCCCCCTCGATTTCTCATATAATAAAATTTAATTTTAGTATTTAATTGTGATAATACGATAGTACTTTTTAAGGTAGTCGTGCATTTTTTTTTACGTAAGTTGACTATCTTCGCTACGCTAGCACAATAGCTCTAATTGATAGACTCTCAGAAAGTAGAGCGTGCAACATACAAGCATCTTTTTCTCTCTGCCGTTATTCTCTCTGTCGCTTTCGAGAAATGGAAGTCGTGTTTGTCTCACATTCTTAAATTTATCTTTATTAATGATTTTTCATCGGGTTTCTAAATATTTTTACATTGACAGATCTAAATAAAGAATAACCTAACCGTTCGAGTTTTGATTCAGATACATGAGATAGCAAATATCGAGTGTTACTAGTGCCTTACGTCAACGATATGCGCGTACGTATTTTTCTTAGGTTCAAGTTGTCTTAGATACGAGTTTGAAATCACGAGAGACCAGATTGATTCGGTCCAATGGCTAGTTCCTTGATTTACGAGGAAAAGAGATCAATTGAAATAAGTGAAAGGCGTATGTTTTTTTTTCTCAGTAATATTACTTTGCTTACAAAGATTATCATTACATTGGTCTCTCAGATTCACAGATTTGTGCAATAATAGCTTAACATAAGCTTGGCATAATTCTGTAAACATACTTTTACTCAGGATATATCTTTTCTGAGATAAGAACAATGCGTGAATCTCTTTCTCTTATAAATAAATATAATGCAGATGTTACTGTGTTTTCTATATACAGGGTGAGGCATTTATAGTGACGCGGGCATATTTTTCGGAAACGAAGTGAGATATCAAAAAATATTTTAGACAAAAGTTGCATGGTTTTGAGGGGGCCACATGATAAAAATATGGATTTGACCTTAAGTAGTCTTTTCAAGGTGAGGTCAATGTGGTCGATGTCCGAAACATATTTTGATATCTCACTTTGTTTCCGAAAAATATGCCCGCGTCACTATAAATGCCGCACCCTGTATATATCGTGCGTGTCAGTATATTATATTGCGAACGTTGCTAAATGTTACTTAAAGTAGATCACGATGCCTTTCTTTTTACCTTTTTATTCGCTGTATTACTAGGGCTGTAATAAGACATAGTTCTCTATTTCTCAGATCGGTGGATCCCACAATTACTGTAATTGCGTGCTACCGTTAATTGCGAGAACTTTGCTACGGCAATCTCGATTAGCAGATACTGGTCTATATCGAAAGTATAAGATGACAATCCCTAATTTTCTATGCTACTGCGCAATTATTAATTAATGATAAAACCCCGTGAATTTTTAACGTAAATATTCCATAGTGAGGAAAGTATAAATTCACTCGGATTCAACGAGAGTAAATAATTGAAAATAATGATCCCTAACAATTGCATCAATATAAAATTAGTAAATAATGATGATGATTACATATTTTTTTTCATGGTCAGATGATCTTTTTAAATCCACCCATTGTCGATTAGCATAAAGGCCAGACGATGATCTTCGAAAGGAGGACGGTTATTATACGGAGATTGTATTTGCTAATCGTCGAGAAGTTTCGAAAGAAAAACGATCAATTTGCAATAACTGCAGCGTAACGCCGTTGCACGTAATCGTTGATTTACTATCGAAATTTCATGCACGATTACGCGGGTGGCTTGACGGATGTTTTTTTCGCGTCGTGAATTAGTATATAGTGAAAACGAATAATTTGTAATTGCGTTAACATCTCCGGATGGACAAATGTCGCTTTCGTAATTCTCTGTTGCAAGGTGCGCAACATATCAGGCAAAATTATATGATGCACGGGTTAAATGTCTCTATGGTAGTTTATAATTTGCTACGTAACGAAAACGTGATCGTGCAGCTGCGCGCTTTCCTTCGCTAGGATCGCGTGATATTACCATCGGTACGTGGCGGACGAATTAATTACCATTGAATAATGAATCGGCGAAGCTAGCACGTCATCCATGAGGTCTCGATTTCTCGCGTCGATTTACCCCGCGATGCGTAGATCACGCCGTGCGTAGGTCGCGACGTCGATGGGCCTGAAAAGAAGGGAGACTCTTCTTCAAGGACGCTTTTGGGCTATCATGATGATCTTAGCGGTTAGTCACCTCTGTGCCTCGCGTATCGAGAGAATCGCGGGATCTCGCCAGTTCGCGTGGGATAATAAGCGGTGAGATCAGATCGTGAATTGAGCGACCGATGTAATCGCCTTTTACTTAAAAACAAGCAAACGGGGACAAAGAACTTGGAAAGGGCGATTTAACGATTCGTCGGATTACGAAGGATTTCGCGAAGGAGTAGTTGCGATTTTGAAGAAAAACTTTATTTATTAAGCTGCATGGTTATCGGCGTATCGATCTATTGCGTACGCGATTAACTAAGGAAGTTCACGCAGTGAAAACTTTTCCACTTTTCACACATGTATTACATCATGGTGTGACTAATTCGTTTGAATTGAAATTGAAACATTTGTCTTACATGTAAAGATATTGTTTGTAGCTTCTCTATAAGACAGGAAGAAAAATACATTATTAATCTTATATAAGCAATATGATGTAAATGTAACAGAAGGTTTCCAACGTAATTTTGTTCAAGTTCTAATTTATGCTACAGAGAAAATATAGTATAGTGCTTACATATAATGCATATAATTTGCACTTTTTCCACATAAAATGTTTTGGCATACATTTGCACTATACATTTTGATATGATTGTTAATATAATTGCATAATATAATTGATATAATAAAAGAATTAAGTATAATCTTTTTTTTTACATCTCTTGTGTAGGTGAAATGTTATCGCCGCTACTGTTACTGGGCATGGCCCTGTCCGTAATAGGCGGTTACGTGCCACCCGGGCCGAGATTTGGATGTCCCAAAGATCCAATTTACATTTACCCCTGCACGTGTCTTCGGGGTAGCGACAGGGGTTTATACATCCGCTGCGAGAATACGAATCTAGCCAGTCTCAGCCTTGCCTTCACGAATCTAGGGAATGAGGGCATGCCAATCGAGGAACTGGTTCTGTATAAATGCAACATAGGTGAGCTAGAGATTTTTAATTTTGCGTAGTGGAAAAAAACATGCGTGATGATTCTCCTATCGCGGAAAATAACAAAATACAATCGAGTTAATTAACCCACTTTTGCTACTCCATAGTACGATTTTACGGACCCGCCCTGTATCCATTGGACGTACGAGTGTTGAAGTTTATCGATACGCCGCTGAGATTGATCGAAGAGCACAGCTTTCTCGGCGTAAACAGGACTCTTCAGGAACTCCATGTGATAAACAGCAATTTAGAGAAATTTCCACGCGAAGCACTGCAAGTTCTCGGCAATCTCAGCCTGTTAAGTATCAGCGGCCACCGGATGTCTATTTTGCCGGGGAATAGTTTCAGTGAAAGCGCGGCGGCAGCAAAGTTAGAAAAATTGGAGATTAGTAATGGTAATGACGGTATCATCGTAAAATATCATTAATAGAAAATACAATTTTCTATCGATCAATCCCAAGAGTTTAAAGACAATACATAAATCTGTAAGATCATCTTGAATTTTTGTGTAATGCAGCATATATAAAGAGATGTACTTTGCATCAAATATCAATTTTTGTATCTATAAAGATTGTTTAATTAATTATAAATTATTTAATTAATCATAACTCTTGACAAACTGTATCATACTTTTCAGGTACGATATCTTCTTTACCCGCCGAAGCATTGACACCGCTCAAGAAGCTGAAAACACTTGATCTTCATGGCAATAAAATAAAAGACCTAAAGAAGAATCAGTTCAAAGGTCTGAGGGATACCGAATTTCTGGATCTCTCTCACAATTTGATTGACAAATTGGACACATCTCATTTGGCAGATCTTGTTAAGATGGGATGGTGCAACATGTCACACAATGCTATCTCCGACTTGAAGAGGTAGACAAGTTTGAAAAAAGAGTAATTATACGATCTCTACGATATGAAATATCTAAGAGTGCTTTTGTTTTAGAGGAACCTTTGCTCGAAATTCCGTCTTGAAGGTCCTGAATCTGAGCCACAATAAAATAAGAAAGTTGGATTCCAATACTTTTCGCGGCATGCGTTTTCTTAGGCGATTGCATCTGAGCGACAATCAAATCAATGATGTGGGTCGTGGAACTTTTGGTTCTGTTACAAGGATCGGTACCATCGATCTTTCTCGGAATTTCATCAAAAAGATCGACTTCCAAATGTTCAATCAGCTGCAGTTTGCTGAGGTATATATACGTTATTGCTCATAAAATTACATTTATACATGTTTTTATAGTTTTTATTTAATAATATGCCCATTATTAGCTTCTAGACGTTTCCGAGAATTTCGTTACAATCGTGGAAAAATTGGCGTTTAAAGATATCTACTTGGCAAAAGTTAATCTGTCTCATAATGAGATCTCGAAGATCGAATCAGGTGCCTTCGAGAACTGCGTGAATATTACATCACTGGATTTCAGCCACAACAAACTCGAGAATATCTCGAAGTATTCTTTCGATAGCGTGTCGTACGCTATGGAATTGCAACTCAGTTATAATTTATTTACGTCTCTTAATCAAGTGAGTGTATTTTTTTAAATGCAAACAATTGGACGATTTTCATATTATTTTATCAAGACATATTTAATTATTATATTTAATTTTGTTAAAAACGTATTCTTTTGCAGATTCCGTTGCATAATATGACGGGATTGAAAGTATTAAACGTTTCTCACAATCTGATACACTCCGTTCCACGGCAGACCTTCCCTAAGCTGTACGAGCTCCACACGATCGATATCTCGCACAATAATTTATCTGAGATTTATAACGCCGTATTTCAGACTCTCTTCAGTCTGCGATTCTTGGATCTGTCGCATAATTCTCTGGAGAAGATAAAGCCGTCGACTTTTGGGCCGTTGCCGACACTTCTAGAACTCGATATGAGTTATAATCAATTAAACGACGTCTCACGAGGAAGTTTAACTCGTCTGGCTAGCTGCAGGTGCATTATCACGCGTTAATAAAATTTAAGAATGTCTCTACATATATAATAAATGCGTATTAAATTTTAGGAGTTTGACGGTGAGAAACAATCGTCTGACAAAGATTTTCCAACTGCCAATTTCTTTAAGTCATTTGGATTTCTCGGAGAATCTGCTGGAAGAGATCCCGAGCATCGATGTGTGGCCTGCTATGAACGCACTACTCTCGTTGGATCTTTCGCGGAATCAACTGGGTGATAATCTACAAGAGGGAAGCTTCGAAAATCTGCTGACCTTGAGGATATTAAATCTGCAAGCGAACAACATCACGAAGCCGCCCTGGCAAGCGCTGAGCAGTCTGAGCAGTTTGCAGTATCTTTATCTACAAGTAAGACGAAAAGAACTCTTTATAGAAAATTAATTTTTTTAGACACAGATAATTTTGCAAATTCTAATCGACGATAATATTGCAGGATAATTACATGACGAAGCTAGAGAAAGCCGCCTTTGGCCGTTTGCCGATAGTGTTCGAACTTAACTTGGCGAATAACAAGATAAATAATGTAACAAGTCGCGCGTTCGAGGGCTTATTGCAACTGTTGACACTGAACTTGACAAACAATAACATCAGTCACATACCAAACGGCGCGTTTCAGGGTCTTGTGTCACTGAGAACTCTCGATCTATCTCACAATAGATTGGAGAAACTGGACAACAAGACACACGGATTGCTCGACGACTGTCTGTCTCTGGAGAGGCTCAATGTTAGCCACAACAAGATTTCGTTTATTACCCGAAAAACTCTGCCAAACGATCCCTGGATTCCTTATAGGCTAAAGGAAGTCGACTTATCTTACAATACAATGCCGGTTGTGACCTTCGACCTCATCGCCGGTGCCAAAAAGATTCAATACTTGAATCTTTCTTATAATAACATTAATGAGATTAGGAGATGTGAGTAACATATTGGCAATGTCACTTTTAATAATCTCGACAAATAACCGGACAACAATGTAACGTTTCATCGGTTTACATTTTTCGCTGAAGATCGTCGTTTATTAGAAAATTGTTCTGTTTTAGATGTAATCGGGAATTTAACGTCTTTGGAGACTTTGGATCTGTCACACAACGACATAAGTGATATCTCCGATCGAGATATTTTTTTACCACCGTTAAATTTAACCAACTTATATCTAAGCAACAATCATCTAAGCTATGTGCCTCTCGATAAGATTTTACCGCTACCAAACTTAAAAATTCTTGACTTGGAAGAGAATGAGATTGGCGTTTTCGATGAGAGGTTTATGAAGATTGTCAAGAACGGCACGGTGCTCAGATATTTTGGTAAAAGACTAAATAAATAAATTTAACAAAGAATAATGAGGCACTTGTAATTACACCATTAACTGATAAAAAAATTTAATAGTAGAAATTATAATTATGATTAAATTTGTCTTATACTTATTAAGATAACTAACTACATATTCTACACATATATCTATATAATCTATATATCTATATATATATTAGGGAATCCCATGCAATGTGATTGTCACGCGCGGCCCTTAAAGAGATGGTTGAAGACTCAAACGCAGCTTCCGACAGATTGGTCGAACGTGACGTGTGAAAGTCCGAATTATCTCGCAAACAAACCTATTTCGGAGATAACTGAGGATCTCATGAGCTGCGACGAGAGAGACATTCAAGAGAAACCCGAACTCGATATCACACCCGATGTGAAATATCGAAGTATCGACTAGTACGTTATTTTAGCCAAATATATATTATTATTTAAAATTTTTTTTTGACAGATAATTTTTCTCAAAAACTATAAATTATGTGATTTTCTTTAGCAATAATGAGGATAATAGCTGGAAAGCCACGTGGTATGTGACGTCGCGCGAAGACATCGGCGACTTTTACGTGGTGGTTCGAGAATCCGGCAGCAGCAAATCCATGATCGAGAAGGATATTGTTTACAGTGAGCGTTCCTTCAGGGTCCACGATCTGACTGAGTCCAGCACCAAATACGAGCTCTGCGTGCTCGCACGCGATTCCGAGGGAAATGTCAAACACTATAGAAACTCGCAGTGTCAGATCTTGAATCAGCATAACTCCAGTTCATCCATTAGCTTCAGGACGAATCTGTACTTCGTGATAATTGTTGCTTCCCTCTGCATTTTTATGTGAAATTTTATTAATATAACAAAAATAATACTCGCATTTAAGTAGATATTTTACGTTCAGCAGAGACACAGTAAAATATACACGTGATAAAGTACCTTTATGCATATCGCTAGCTGCTTAAAATTCTCAACTATTTTGCTATTTTAGTCTTCTATCGTACACTTTATATCGCGTCGAAGCGCGAAGCGATATGATTGCGAAATAAATTAATATATACATATATCTATAAATATGTATATCGTGGATTGTACATAAATCGTATTGTATTTCGTTCGAAGACAGGGACGTTGAACGTCGTGTATTTATTTTTGTAAAATATACATATTGTTCAAGTCATATATTTGCTGTTATTTCACATACATCAATTAACCAAGATTCGATACAAAAGAGAATGTGCGTAATAGTTCGTAGTAGATTCGTGATAATAATTTACGATTTTTAAACGAGCAAAAAGCCTAGTTGATGATTAGCGAACGATGCGTCTTAATAAGAACTGGCTAATCCCACGAGATTAATTCGCCATCGCGTCGTCTAGCCCTTTCTGTCCCGCGACTAATAAAGCGCTCGTGCGATGCGCTGAAAAAGTTCTCAAGGAAGTCAGCAGCCTCCCGAGCTACGCGTAGTAAGATTATTTCATTATCCTGTGAAAGCTGTAATTAGTATCCGCGATTAAGCATAGAGTGTTCTGTCGCACTAAAAGAAGAAGGGGCAGAGTTCTCTAATGAGGCCAAGAAACAGTGGAAGTTGTTGTTTCCGCAAAAGGAGATGCCATTATCGTGGATTTATTAGCGTCATCAGAGACGTGGCGATTACGTTCTTAGAGATTTTTCGTTTCATTTCGTCAATTATTCGCATTTTATTAACGCTGTCACGCGATAGCAATTATCGATTATTCCTGCGCCATGATATCTGCGAGAGAGGAAGAAACAATGCTCGTACAAGTGGCGATCCGTCGAAGACTCTGGCGGATTAACGGGATTTTAAATTGCACGACGCACGACGTGTCTGATTAATATTGTTTTGGTCGAATATATACCGGAAAAAACAATAAACTGTATACACGCCGCTGCTTGCCGGACGTTCTGCTCGGTCGGCTGCCTCTCTCGATCGAGATTAACGTTAGTTTAATGCTTAATTAACGAAGTATTCTTCGGCACAAAGCACCGATTTTTAGACCTTCATCAAAGTTACAGATGTGATTTTATAACAATAATAGATATCTCTCTTTCTCTTTTTCTTTTTTGAAATTATCTCTTTTTTAAAATTGATTATATATATTTACATAAAAAATATAAATTATAATTTTGTATACTATTTTTTACATATTACATGCGATAAATTATCGCGAGGAATAAATCCTCAGAAATAGAAGCACGAATAACATTGAAAACATTTAGTTCTTTTTTATATTGATATGAAGTCTCGTTGCGGTTTTGATACCATGTTGCGAAACATGCGGTCGAACACTTTCACCCGAGGCCCAATAATGGCTAAAAGTACGTTATACAAGCACATGCGCGCTCTCACAAGTACCACAAAATGGTATTCCCATGAACCGATGATATTCCTGACACAGACATCCGCTTGTCTGGGACTTGGGAGATCTCGAAGCTCCTCGAGGCACAAGTAAATTTACATTTGTCTCTTCCCTCGTCGAAATTACCACGATAACGTTGACATTATTGACTCTTCGTCGTAAAAGACGGTGTGACTTGGAGAAGATAAATACACTCCGATTTTACGTGGTTACCATTTCAGTGAAAAAAAAATTATATTTCTTTTTCTCTTATGTTAATTATATTTTTTGAGTTCATTTTTTAAAAATTACTATAATTTACATTAATTTATCGTGAGAAATGTCGTTCTTACGTGTTTTTTTAAACTCGCTCTTTATTTGCGGCGTCGGTCATCACATCTGAATGTATGAATAAAGTAAGCAGAATACATTTACATACGCCGCTTTGGACAGTGACTCACGATACATCCATGTAAGGCTCAGAGCGAGAGGTCCCTACCCGCCTACGTTAAAAATATCGCTTGTTTGTGCTTCGAGGATAAAAAAAGAATTGAGAACGAGTCTGTGTGTGTGAAACGTTCTTTTGCCGCGTCGACTCATCCTAGTATATTAAGACGGTGTCTCTCTAAGGCCCGAAACCATGGGATCCCGCACTATTCTATCGGCGCGATCTACTACAGGATGAAGGACCCGCCTTCATCCAGGATAAATCGATGAATTATATTCGACATATCGATCCATAAATCAATTAACGCGAAATTTGTTATATCTCATTGTAATTATTCCAGAGCCCGCAAGCACATTCCAGTTACCAGATAAGCGTACACTAACACATACCAGCACATACACATTCACACGATTCTACCTTTGCAATTGGTTCGCGGCTGCCACTTTCTCATCCATGTGTCTTTTGTTTCTCGATGACAATGGCGTGGTGTGAGGTCCATTATGGTCACTACGATGATATTAGACATGCTCAATGATTCAACTTGGCTAATGAAATTATCATGGGAAGAACAGTTTAGTTTCAATAAATAATACTCCTATTTCTGGTAGTAGATTAAAAGGCGAAGTAAATTCTATATTTTAATTATTTCTTTTTGCAATAAATGAAGAAATACTCTTGGATACAAGATTAGAAAATTATCACATTACAAGAACATCATTACTACAATCATCTTCATATCAATTCATCTGTATTTATTTATTCATCTCAATCTCATTTAAATCTCCGTTGAATTTTAGCCTGGAGTCGAATAAAAGATTCAATCTAATTTGCACCAATTAATTTTATCATTTAATTAAAATTATATAAAATTATCTATGTTACACCACAATATGTCTGATACATTTCTACGCCACTGGCCGATACTGCAGTCTGGGTCCGCTGACGGTTCAAACTCTTCCGCCACTCGTTGGGCCCGTCAGTATCTTTCGCGTGCTCGCACGGGGAACATCGCTCGCGCGTCTTCATCAAGGCCCATTCCCGGTCTTTCGGTCCACCGACGGGCTTATTCGCGACGCAAGGTCCCGCGAACGGTGAGAGAGGAGAGTCGTTCCTAAGCAGAGAAGCGAGCATGTCCGACTAAATGAGAGTTCCTCGCGAATAATACGAAGGTCTATTCGAACCCTCTTCCTTTCCTACCATCTCTTCCTCTTTCTTCTCTCTTTATTTACTTGTCCTCGAGGCGGACCGCGAGTACACAGTCCGCGAGCGTTTCGTAATTATCCAGAGAACGGACATGGCTGACCGTTTCTGGAGACTGGCCCTGTGCTGGATATGCATCGTCGGGTTTGCACGCGGCAATGGTGAGCAATATGTCTAAGTTTAATAGCGATAATAATTTTTGTGATTATTCTTTATCGTGATTTTATTTAAAATAACAATAAAAGTTTTAAATAAAAAAATTATATAATAAATGCACGCACATCACACGAAAACATATTTATCTACACCAAATAGATATCCACGCTTAGCTGTAGCAAATTATGATAATAAGGAATATGAAATATTTGTAGGACAGGTTGGCGAACGTGAAAGTGACACACTTTGGTTTCCAAACTGATTATAATACCAATCGCGATAGAGAATAATAAGCCGCATAATCCAGCTGTCAGAATGCGTCGTAAAGTTTCGAAGCACCTGACGCGCGCGCATCTAAATAGCATGTCCTAGATTGTGATGCCCACAAAGTATCACGAGGATCATAGTTACCTGAAGCGCCAGTCAAGGTTGAAACGTTCTCTCATGCGTCGTGCAATGCGCTCGTTATGACTGACTTTAAGCTCGTTACTGTGACGTTTCTTTTCTACTCGCTTCACGGTTCGACTATTTATAAAAACGATAATGTCCGACAACGAGAACCTACACATACAATGCGATAGTCTTGCTAACTAAGAAGTTTTTTTTTTTTTGCGATGGGACAAGCGCGGATGTCGCGTCTTAAAAATAATCAAGCACAAAGAATGAATCTACCGATATGTTTCCGGATCATATTTAACGGCTGCGAACCTTCCTTGTGTCTGTCACGCAATATTACGAGGTATGCGGAATACCTTCTCGTTTAAGACGCTTTTCTCGGAAGTGAAATTTATGCGAGCTGTGCAAACAATGCGCGCGCTAGCATGGCATCCTTGATGTAATGTGCAATTAAAAAATAACCATAGTTAACGAAGTTTGTAATCGCGCGACACTTGCAATTAGAACAAGACGGGAATTAATTATCCGTTAAGGACAGCATTGTTTAAAACAAACAAGAAGATAGAGTAAAATGGATTAAAACTTATCGATATTTTTAAATTAAAGTTAATTATATGCATTATATGCATTATTGTATACATTAGATTATATTAGTTGAAATGATCAATTTGCAAGTTTAATCGCCTTGGGAATCGAGGCTGCTCCAATTGTTTCCACCGAGTGGTTTCGTGTTGACGTATAATTAATTAATCCTAATGTGTGATTGCGCGCAGAATTGTGCATAACAAAAAAACACGCATGGAAAATAATTAACTCCGCGTGTCGATTATTTCTCTCTCTCTCTCTCTCACGGAAATTTGTGCAAACGTCTCGTTTGACTTTGTGTCTTGTTTGAGTAATCAAACAGCGATGAATCACGCTGTAACTCTATCGAGATCTTTCAACATTGCCGCGACTATATTTATACTAGAAAATTGCCAATCGTTGCATAAACTAAAACGATTAATGAATAAACATGTATCCGGTACAAAAATAACATATCAAGATTTTGCAAAAAAATCACGCTATGATTCTTTTGTAATATTTGAAAAGATCAATCTAATATTGATTAATTTTAATTTTAATAAATCTTTGATAAATTGTTTAATAGATTTTTAATAAGAGGGGAAACCGATCCGTATTCTCTTCTCCCTCCCTTCCTTGTTTGCTGTAACTCCCATGTTTGTATTAATCCTTCGTCGTAATAGATAGACCGCCATCGACTTTCTTTTTCGTATCGTTACCCCCCATCGAGAGTTACGTCGAATTCTCATTCGCGAGTCGGCGAAATTGATTATCAACAGGCACACGTGTAATGGGCATAATTAAGCCGGCTTACGATCGCGGATGCGAGAGGGAAGAAATAAAAATATATTACGAGAGCCGCGGAAAGAAAGGGAAGGTGAGCGGAAATACAATTTTCCGTGCTTGTGATTACGCACTTATATTCTCACTCAGCCTTCGTTCTCTGCTAGAATCCGCGGTGCGATCTTAACTGGCTACCGTCCGGGAATTAAAGGGAGAGCCGAACAATATAAGGTAGCTCCCGCACTAATACGTTCGTAACGGGAAAGAGCGATCGAAGATTAAAGGTTCGCCTATGTGCGTTAGTGATTCTTCCTTTTGGAACGTATCCGAGAGTCTACAATGTGACACAAAAAAAATAAACTAATATTAAATCTTTAATATTTATCTTAACAATATCACGCCATTAAAAAATGTGCCAATAAAAAAAAAACATCTATGTTATTTGAACTCTCGTAAAGCTGCGAAAAATATTTGTATAATGATCATTTTCTGATCAGAAGAAGGTTTGCTTAGAGAACTATATCAATTTACAGAGTAATGCATAAAATAGCTTGATGTAGAATCGCGAAAGTTATACTCCTCTTTTTCTTTATTAACCAGATTCTCTTAAAAATCTTCAAGAAGTTGCATCGTTCTGTAGCACGGGGTACTGAAACGCTTCGGTCCGTTCATGGGCCAATGTGTGCGAGTAGGAAATCACGAGGAAAGAGAAGGTGAAATTCTCGATCTAACTTTTGCTGCGCCTATCCACTTATATTTTCTCACTATCAGGCTATTAACTTATACTTAATTGCTAGATCGCAAATGTGCGAACCGCAAGTATCTCGATCTGCGGACAGATTCTTCGTATTGCTTCCGCCGCAAAGCTATGCGCATATTATCGACGGCAGATTAAAAAAGTCGACAATGTGAAGAAGTCATGCAGAAAATTGACGTAAGCTCTGTTAAAATGAAGCGTCAGGCCGCATTCGCGCGTGTTCAAGAATAATGAGATTTCTCGCGGTTTCAAAACCATTCGCTTCCTAGCGTTTTTGTATAGCTGTATTGCTTGCGGAATTTTTCCCATGTACGAGTCATAAAGTTATTATTTATTCATTATCCAGCCTAGAAACCGCACGGAGTTTTATCAGAAAGCGAAAACGCTCGCCGAGTGAAAAAAAAAGTAAGGCAAAACAGTTTCACCGAGTCGTCTTTGCTCTTTATGATCGCTCTCAAATACGTGGCCAGGTATAACGAGAATTATGAGGAGCAGCCAGTTGCGTGGCTAATTAAAAGCTGTAAGTCCAACGTTGAAATGTTCAGATGTTTTAAAATTATAATTAATATTAACTCCATAAATTAACTCCAAGAAATATATGGCTTGAATAAGCAAGGCTTCTCTTTCCTTACATGGCTTCTCTACTTGTTTAAGTCATTCTTGGTTTGTATCATGACAAAAATAGTAGCGCGATTATTTTTTAAATAAATCGTATAAATTTGGACGTATATATCTGTCTCGCGCGTGTGCAAAATATTTATAAAAATTTCAAATATTTTTTAATTACCTTTACTAATATTTAAATGATGACACTTGTGTGCCAAATAAGTACTCATGAGAAAGTGAATCAAGTGAATGCGCTCAATCACCAGTATCTATCTCCACGCCTTTCCCTTACGCATCTCTGGATAATTAAAAGCAAAAGATCACGTACATTTACACTTGCATACGATGATTCAATACGATATACTTACAACGCAAAACACGTTGCCGACTACGTACTTATCCTCAGAGGTACAAATTTGGAGAGATGTGTTGGCGCCGTAGTGTTATGGCATTGTAAGAATGTGGAATATGGAGAATGCTCGGAGTTCTGGAGTGAGAAATACAGAAGTGGGAGTGAGAGTAGGAGTGAGGGATCGGTTGGGAGAGGCCATAGGAAAACCGGTTGCCGATCTACACGGACGTCTTGGACAGCGCGTCGTGGAGAGCACCGAGAAAAGGCCAAAAAGGCCGAGCTCCGGTTTCCAGCAAAGCGATCGGAGCTTTTCCCGACACGCGAAGGTCCGGACGCGAACTCCTGCATCGACAAAGAACAAAATGCCGACAAAGAAGATTGCTGTGTTTGGATTTCCCTTTTAAATTTCACATTTATATATATGCAACAAAATAAAAATTAATAAATAATTAAATCGTGATACAGACAGAAATATGCAATAATGAAAGCAAAGTTATTTTGTGAAATGTCATTGCTTGTTTTCATATTTATTACAAAAAGATGAATAATTTATAATAAAACAGTTTTCGCAGGTCAATGTTCTTGAATTGTGTATAAATGTGCAAATAAGTAACTTGAAATTAATAAAAAAAAATGTCTAAAGAAATGAAGTGATTGTTCGCTAAAGGGATGCGTGACTTGATCTATTAAAATGCCATTAATCACGCAAAAGAATCAAAGTCCTAAGATGGCTATCTTAGAATCGATCACCGGCACATATGTACTAGATAATCGACGTGCACTGACGTGCGTGTTTGACGTAACGGCCACACTTTTTTTCCGTCAGTCTATCCAGACGTGCTATCGGCAAAGATGTTTTCCCTTTGCGATTAGAATCATGGTTTCTTCACTATTTAAAGATCTTTCTCTTAGCACTTACATCTTTTAACATTCTTTCGCTCGATGATCCTAGTCGATCAAGCATCTCCGCGTATGATTATTTATATGCGAGAGATAATGGTATGCATTTTGCCGCAGGTGCGAAGATATCAAAAAGGAAATGGTCAAAGATCAATATTGTATATATCGAATCTGCCTGAAATGGCAAGACAGTAAACGTTCAATTTCTTGTAAGTCACAAATTAAACAACGTCTTGAACAGTTACTTCGACGTGGCACGTGGAAAAGAACGTGAATGGATAATGAACCCTTGACATGCCATTTTTGCTAAGTTTTATAAATAGCGACTCAACCCATCGAGAGCGACAAACCATTTATCGCTTGTTTAACGATCATCTTGAGATGTATCCTAAGTACCATAAACTCACCATTTTTTCATAATCGTTCCTTTTGATGTGCGATCTTGGAACTCCCTTACAAATTAATGGATACTTTGATACATTCGCCGTTAGCCGTGAATTATTTATTTATTTTATTTTAAGCAAGGGACATATGAAAGAACTTACTACTGTTTAAAAAATTGAAAGATTGGAATTAATTATTCTTTACTTTTCAACGTGGATTGTAATTATGCAAAGTTTATACATTTGTCATGCGTGTAAATTATA